ATCAATTATAATCGCAAGAGGCCTGGCTTCTAGCAGCAAAGACAGTGAAGTAGTAATGCTACCCTGCCCGTGTTGTGTCTGCAGATTGCCACCCCACAGATCTGTTTTGGGTGATATCAGCCCTCTTGAGTAAAATGGAGCAAGGAAACCTTTTGTAGGGACTGGTGGAAGAATTTGCTCAGCATCTGTTGGACAAAATTACTCGGATTTGCTCACAGTTGAATGCTGGTCTTTGGGAGATGCCTAGGGTAATCTTAACCTGGTTATCTGGGAATGTTTTGAATTTGTTGGACCTAGGGAAATGGATAGGATCCTTAGAATGGTGGGCGCAGTCACCCGCTCTTTAGATCCATGCCCTTCCTGGCACATGAAAGTCAATAGGGGGTGTTGTGTGAGTGGGTCCTAGCAGTGATTAACTTTTGAGTTAAGGGGATTGCTCCTTTATCTCTTAAGGAGGCTTCATGTGTTCCCTCCTCAAGAAACAATTGCTGGATCACGCAATACTGGACTTTTGCCCAGTAATCAACTTTTCCTTGGGGGAAGATGATTGAAAAAGTGGTTGTGTAATCCCTTCAGCAGACCCTAGATGCACCAGATTATCTGGGTTGTTTCCTTCAGATTTCAGATTTGGTATGGAACAAAATCAGCACTTTTGGATGATCTCTGGCAACAGCAAGACAGTGGTGGGGGTCTATCCTTGCCTTACTTGATTTCTTAGCAGCTTTTAATACTATTGATCACGGTATCCTCCTGGATCGATTTAAAGGATTGTGAATGGGCAGTACACAGTTATGCTGGATCACTTCCTTTCTATGGGGTCAGTTCCAGTTGGTGGTGATTGGGGAGGAGACATTCCCACCCTTGGCCCCTGTTATGTGATGTGTCACAGGGTTACTTTTCCCTCCCCTATTCCACATCTACATGAGCCCACTGAGTGAACATATCTATTGACCTGGGATGAAGTATTGTCAGTATGCTGATGATAATCAGTTGTACATCTTGATGAATTAAGCAATGCTATGGATATCCTATCCTGGTGTCTGGGGGCTATGAAGGTTTGGATCATACATCTGGCAAGACTGAGTGGCTTTGGGTTCTATTCCACCAGGAGCTGTGATGATGCAGTGGTTAGAATGCAGTAGTGTAGGCTGACTTGCCCACAGCGAGGAGTTCAATCCTGACAGGCTTAAGGCTGACTCAGCCTTCCATCCTTCCGAGGTCGTATGAGGATCCAGATTGTTGGGGCAATATGCTGACATTATAAACCTCTCATATACTGCTGTACAGCACTATGGAGCAGTACATAAGTCTAAGTCTAAGTGCTATTGCTATTGTTATTGCTTTGGTACTGGATGAGGTTGCCTTTCCTCCAACCGACTGTGTGCAACTTGGAGGTCTTTTTAGACTCATGACTCCTGCTCAAGGAACAAGCGGCAGTCATGGCGAGCTTTTGAACGACTTTATATTATGCACCAGTTGTACCAGTCCTGCATCAAGGGGCCCTACTCAGTCATTTTTGCCCTGGTGACTGCCTGGTTGGACTATTCCAATTCACTTTACACCGGACTGTCCTTGAAAAGTATTTGAAAAAGTTCAGCTGCTGCAAAATGCAGCACTGCGAGCAGTTATATAATGTATGGCACATATTGCACCTCTGCAGCAAGAGTTATACTGGTTCTTAGTTTGCTTCTAGGTCCAATTCAAGATGCTGGTGTTGAGTTGTTTAAAGTCCTACATGGCATGGGACCAGTGGTAGGTTGCCTGGTTTGGTGGTGGGTTTCCCGATTCGGACCGGTTCGCAAGAACTGGTAGTAAAACCGGCGGGAGGCCCCACCCACCACCCCAGATGTCATCATCGGCGATCTGCGCATGGGTGCACGTGATCTCATTGCAAACCGGTAGTGTAAGGTAAGTAGAACCCACTCCTGCATGGGACCACCTTATTTGAGGGACAGCCTCACCCCAATTTTCATCCAGTCATGCTGCCAGATCTAACAGAAAGGGCAGCTATATTTGTTGGGTCCTAGGCCACAGACCTTTTTTTTTTTTTTTGCTATGGCTCCCACTTGTGGAATTTTACACTACTCCCTAAAGTGAGGATTACCTCATCACTTCTAGACTTCTGAAGATCCGTAAGACTTGGTTATGCTGGCAGGCCTGGGGATATCAAGGGACAGATAAACGAATGAGGTGGAACCTTTACCATTAACATCCCTTCATCTATTAATCTTGTTTTAGCTGCCTTTATAGTTTGCTAATGCTTTAAATTTGTGAATGATAATTATTTTAAATACTTGCTGTTTTAGTTTGGCTGTACCCTGCCCAGGGTCACCTGCTTGTGAGATGGGAAGCTATACAAATTAGATAAATACTTAAGGGACTGCTTGCCTCCCATGACATCTGCCTGGCTGATTCTATCCTACAGGGCCGGTGCCCTCCAGGTTCCTTTGATTGAACAATGTCATTTATCAGGATCCTGGAAATGTGCTTTCTCCGTAGCAGTGCCTGCCCTCTGGAACAGGTTTCCCCTTGAGGTCTGATAGACTCCAGTCCGCTGTTGCTTAGAAGAGCCGTGAAGACCTATCTCTTCACCCAGGCCTTTGGCGAGGGAAAGTGAGACCCTCGCTTCATTACATTTGCCATCTTCTATATCTTTAATGTTCTATTGATTCGACATGTTTCTTGTTTCGTTGTTGTGAGCTGCCCAAAGTCACTGATAGATGGGCTGCATCCATGTTTAATACTTTATTATAATCATTAAAATAAATACATGAAGGAAGAATGACTAGGTTAAGAGAAAGGGGAGGATGGAAAAAGTTGTGGTTATATAGAGTTGTGGAGTTCCTGAAAAAAAGAGAGATGAGAAGTTTAAAGAACAAAATGCAATGCATGAAGCGGTTGTTTCCTTAAACTTTTTTTTTTTTTTTGCATACCACATTAAGTGGCTAGCTCTGAAAGGGACTAGAATGTTGGATACGTATGTCTACATAATGTTCCCCTTTCCATCCACTAGAGTCACTACTGCTGGGTTCTTGCTGCTACTGAGAGTGGGAATGCTGCCATAATGAATTCTTTTGCTGGAGCTAAAGAGGAAGCTAGCTTGGGACTAATGGCAATCTGCGCAGGTGACTACCAAGGGCTGTAAAAGTATCCATTGTATTCTTTTCAACACAGAGAAATGTTTCGACAATACTAGGACAAGGACTGGATCTGCAACCAGCTGTACACTCTCGGCTTATGTGTTTTGGCACTTTGCATGGACTGAAAGCACATTTGTGTCTGCTCTGAACTGAGTAACTATTAGGGTCAATATATTCGGGCTGAAAATATCTGATTGATCACCGGGATAGCAGTGAAGAATTAGAATGTCTGATATCCTTTCAATACCATCTAATGGCCATCTGGATTTTTGCTGAATATTTTAAGCTTAAACCAGTTTATGGCAAACATTTTGTTTAAAAACTGCCCATCTTGGTATTAAGCTGCCCATCATGGTACTAAGAGCCCTGGTGGCACAGTGGTTAGAATGCAGTATTGCGGGCTACTTCTGCTGACTGCCAGCAGTTCAGCAGTTCGATTCTCACCAGGCTCAAGGTTGACTCAGCCTCCCAGCCTTCTGAGGTGGGTAAAATGAGGACCCAGATTGTTGGGGGCAATATGCTGACTCTGTAAATCGCTTAGAGAGGGCTGTAAAAGCACTATGAAGTGGTATATAAGTCTAAGTGCTATTGCTATTGCTATTCCAGGCAATACAAGACACAAGTCTTCAAAATGCTGGCTAGGAATTCTGGGAGATGAAGTCCACACATCTTAAAATTGCCAAGTTGAAAAACTCTTACCAGCATAGGTGTTTCAGAAGCCATATAGTCCATTTTACAAGGAGGGAAGCCATTTTTAAAGGCTGTTTTCAAGTGCATACTTTTTAAACAGGGTTTCTCTGCAATTGCGAAGCTGTGCAAATAATCATTGTACATTTTTAGAAATAAGGCAGAAATTTCTGGAGCTGCTTTCAACCCCTTAATATCAGCTCCATGTATATCACATAGAGAGAAAAGCGCATAAAATAGGGGAGTTACTAATATTCCGAGTTCTTGACCAATAGCCTCTCTTAGAGAAATACATTGGATAATATTTATTGGGTTTTATTTGGTTTTTATCAGTGAGATCTAACCCAGTTTGGAATTCATCCTTCTTTTGTTGATTTCTGCCATACTAACAAGCTTTTGTCCTATGCCATTTTGGGGATATTGTCCCATTGACAGACAGATGGACCGATGAGCAGTTCCAAACCTCCTTATCCAATTTTTCTAGGTTGCAGAATGAAAAAACAACATATAAGAGCAGCAGCACTGGATTCTCTTGCAGTGTTCAATGCAGTCTTATTGCTATTGCTAAACAGACAAAAACCCCATAGATCCCTCTACTGCGTTGCTGAAAAAAAAATTAGAAAAATCACAATGTCATGGATCAAGGTCCGTGATCACAAGATGGAGCCATTCATTGTAGTTATAGTATACGGCTTAATGTGTCTCAGCAATAATTCTTTATTTAACAAATCATAATCATGGTGTAGCATGCTATGGGCACAAAGTCGTAGAGTCCAGAATTGTGGAAACCCCTTTTACGCAATAGAAGGTTAACCTTGATCTTTAAAGCTTATCTAGAAATACTTGTTCTTATAATTTCTATGATTGATGAGTTTGAGTCTCTGATTTATTTTACCACGAATCAAAACATAACTAAGGTGTGCTGGTTATTTTGAATTAATTACATGTTCTCGAGATGCATCTTTGCCCCTTTGTAGGTCTTCAATGAACATAGTATCGGTGATAAGTGGAAATTTAATCAACAATATTTTCTCCAGCATTCAAGACAACAAGAAAAGTTTCACCTGCTGATTTCCTGGCTGTCAAAGGGCAGGAGTCCAGCTGCCAGGGAAAAGAAAAAGCGAACAATGCTAGCCTTCACTGTGTTCTTAGATAAAACATTACAAAATCTCCTCTTTTTTCCCCTTTTATTAATCATTCCAGTGACCAGCTAATACTTTCTGGATTTTGCCTGACTCAAAGGTACAACAATTAATTCTCAGTTGACAAAGTTTATATTTTTATTAAATCAATGATAAGTTACAAAGGAGGAAAAATATAGAATTATATGTACAGCATTTCCAAAGATAAGCCAAAGGGGATTATGGGGTAGGAGGGAAATTCCTCAGAGCTGCAAGAAAAGATGAGAGCTTTTTGCCAGGAAGTGATAGAGGGAAATTAAAGAGATCTGTACCAGCCAGGGTATAGTGCCAAATGGACAACTGGTTGGGTTGATTTATAAGAATAGCCCCTTTCCCCCCTGCTTTTTGTTTTTTGCTCCAATCCTTCCCTTTCTTGTGAAATCAAAATAGTGGGATGCATATTGATTTACACCCTCTGAGAATTTTATCTCATTAGCTCAGTAAACCTACAGCATTTCTTCACTGATGGCAAACCTTTAACCACCATACAGTCAATGACTTACACATGTACGGTGACCTTTCTATACCATCCAAAGTGGTATGAAATAGTCTCGTCAGCAAACAGATGCCACTGCCTTTCAACGTTCCGCATCTGCAGATATCCTTAAACCCAATTATCCTGAAATGTTTTTTTTTGTTTTTTTTTGGTCAGCCTGGTTAATTTTTTTTTTTCCAGACACCTTTGGCATCGTACCCAATTGCGTGAGCTCAACATAATCAGGGCTGTGTGAAACCTGTGATTCCTAGAGGAATCCAGCAAAAAAACAAAAACAAAAAAAACCAGGATGTGCTGCTTGGGAACTAGCATTTATTTAGAAAGGGGCAGGTTGATTTTCTTGCTTCTCCCATGAATTGTAAATCTGGGTACAATGCAAACAAACAAACATTCCTCTCCCAAAATTACCATGCACAAAGGAGATATGTATGTATAGTTGCATATTTTATACAGGTCAGATAACGAACTTTTTATGGCACAGGATGTGGTTGCGTGCATGCAGAATTTTAAATATTTCTGTTTTGTTTTACTTGAATGCAGACACTACACACAGCCCTGGGCTTTGCTAATGAGTCAGTTGGTTCCACAGGAGAGGCAGAGCAAAAGGCAAGTTCAGTTTCTTTTCTAGCCTGATTCACTGAACAAGCACATTCCATCCAGTGCCTTATAAAGATAACAGTTATTAACCTTGTAGTATTTGAATAAAGAAATACAAAATGCCAACTTGAGTCAGCAATCTCAGTCACTTTGGAGAAGCTATACTGTTTATAACCAGTTAGGAACTTGGTTGTAAAATCCTTGGCTTGGCAGTATATTTTCTGTACATTGCAAACCTGTAACTATTTACTCAGGAGCAAGCTATGCTGAATTCCTGCTAGACAGGACCTCAATTTATTGAGATGATTACCAATTGTAGCAACGTGGTTGTATATCTCTGGAATGACACTTTATCTTAGACAGAAGAGTCAGGATCAATTACAATTCCTGTCTCTTCACTCACATGAATTTATCTGCATTGACAAGTACCCTCCCAATAGCAATAGATAAGAGGGAATGGGGATAATGGGGGACTCTTTTTGGAGCATGTACTCATTCCTTAAGGCTGCATTGAAAAGGTGCCAGATGTAATCCTTGTCATCTTCAGGTAAAGCTGAGAAACTTTCTCTCAGATACCTCGGAGAGCCACTATCAGCTAGCACAAGAGACAACATAGAACCAGAGATGGCTGGTAGTTGGACTTGCTATTAGGTGGCAGTTTCCTATGCTTAGAGTAAACAGGGTGTTTTTTTTTATTTTTATTATTATTATTACTGAGTAAGCCTGCTTAGAGCTGAACTATGAGGGATTGAACAGTATTAGTAAGCATTCATTGGAGACAACATCCCATGAGGGCAAGATAAATTCAAAGATGTGTTCATGGCATGATAGCTATTCTATGACCTGCTAAGAAGAGTTTTCCTGAGGTATCTGCCATAAAAAAGACCTTGGAGTAGGTGTCTTCCATTGAGACTAAGTAGAATTGGCAGCCAGTGCTGGAGATTCAAATTTAGTAATGTACTACACTATCTGATTAGCCTTTGCTCAGGTTTTTAGCAGGGAAGCCAAATATAAGCCAATGGTTGCTATGCAACTCCCTGTCAACAAGAGAGGGCCTCTGGTAAAAGTTACTCCTTTCAGTCTCTTTTTATTCTAGCAGCTTTTAGGGGGAAGCAAAAATTCAGAGCCCTGTGTGTTTGTCCGATACAGCCATGACTTTTTTTTTAAAAAAAAATTGAGATTCTTATATAGTTAGAATGAGATACATAAGCAGTTTCATATCAAGAGAGAAATACTTAGAACAGAGAACCAAAAAGTTTGCTTCTTGGTATGTTCCATCATATTTAAATCCTACATGCCTTCTTCTTCTTTTATCAGTCAGATTTTTTCCCCATTTTCCCCCCCTGAAAACAACCATCCATGAGATATAGCAGTGGCACAGGATATACTCTATCATTACCATTGGTCAAATAAGCTTCATCTACTCCCACAATTGAGTTAAGACCTTTCCCAAGACCTCCAGTGCCTTCAATTTGAAATAGAGAATTTGTGTATGATTCAATTTTTCTCTAAGTAAACCGGTAGATTTCCTAACAACACCACAGGAAATCAGATGGTGAGAGAAGCCATTTCCTGAAGGAGATCAGATATATTTATGGAAGGTAAAAAAATCATAACACTTTGAGTGTGGAGCAGTAATTGTCCAACGGAGGTGAAACTTTAAGTTTAGATGGTCTTAATCACTACAGACTTCTCAGCTAGGATCAAGTAGGAACTATGGAGAAGAACCAGTTCTCTCTCTGGACTCTTAGTCAGCACTGCTCTCAACAGCTGCCGAGGTTATATTCTCTCTCATCTCCTTATTTTCCAATACAATTGATTTGCCTCTCACATCATACTTAGTCTTCCCCCATGTAACCTCATTTTGGAGTGGCCTGATGTTGATGCCATCTCGTGAAGCATGGGAGGCCCCCCCCCAATTTTCCCCTCCCTGCCCCACAGCCCACCTTCCTGCTTCAGTATGGGGAGAACTTCTGTCTCTCACCCTTCTTGCTTGCATTGGCTGTGGAGATCTTGGTCGTGTAGGTGGCAAGGTTGCCATTGTGCCCCGTGGCTGAGGAAGGGGGCAGTGTCAAGAAGGGAATGGGTTTCAAGCCGATGAAGTTGGAGAGGGAGATGGCATAGGGGGGACCAAGCAAGGCTGGGGGAGGTGCGGCCACTGCTGTCAGCGCTGGGGCTGGCGAAGGGGTGAGGGACTGGGAGAAAGTCATGCCGAGGTCAACGGGGGGCGTCTGGGAGGTAGATTTGGCCGTCTCTAAACTGAAGAACAAGAAGGGAGAAAGAATGAGACCTGTGCATGCATGCCCATTTACATATAAAAATGCAGACATCTGTGGACATATACTTGGAAGTATATGTACCAATGTGTGCTGGAACAAGCTTGCACACAGCATAATATGCATAGGTGTGGGTTAATATGTATAGTTTGCTTAATACATATATAACAGTATGGTTATGGATATGGATATGCATTCACAGAAAGACGTGTTTTACTGGCATGCATAATGACATGTGCAACAGAATAGGTACACACACACAGACTGGAAATAGTGAACAAGGTGCTCTGAAGCATTTCAGCATCCGGATAAGATCTTTTTCTCCAGAATCCCCCTAGGACTATGATTATACATTTACGGCAAGGAATCTTTACTTTGATAAGAGGAGCTTATTTCCTCGATCAGTGTTCAGAGCTGGTTATGTGGAGGGAAGTTATCTTATACCTTTTAGCAACTCCTGTTTATATAATCAAAACATTCCAAGGTATTTCAGGCACTTATGTGTCTTGGACCTGTGACCAATGGCTTGAATCAATATCTGAATTTCACACCCTGAAACCAATTTACTTGTCCAGGATGAAGGCGGTGAGTGGCAATGATGATAAAATTTAGCTTACTTTAGTTCTGAATATGTAAATATATTAATATACAAAATAAGTGCCAGAATGATTTTCATAAGAAAACTGACTGTATAAACAGGAAAGCGCATCCTTCAAGAAGCAGGCCATGTCCTACCAGCTGTACCCTAGTGGCCATAATGCACAAAAAGAGAGCAACGGTTATTTCTTGCTCCAAATCTTAAAGCATCTCAAGTGCCAGATTGTGATACACCATGGTAAATATCCTCTCATGTATTCCATTCAAGTGTTGTCATTTTGTGGATAAAAGGCAGTTATTCCACACTGAAAACAAGAGCCCTTTCTCAGCAGAACTGAAGGCTGCATAGGTACTTGCAGCTGCAAGGGAAATTTGAGGAGAAAGCGGAGGCAGCTGCCCAAAATACTGCAGTGTAGTCAATGATAATAGTCTTAGTCTGGCTCATGAGAAACTCAAAGATTGCAGGCTGGAGAGACAATGTGCAAAACTATTTGACACTCATGGGAGTGCGGCAGGATGTTACCTTTTAACATTCCTGTTTATTAAATAAAAGGCAGAATGGTTGCAAACTAACAACTCACCCACCATAGCAAAGGATTGCCTTTCGGTTCCTACAAAGCTATCCATCTAAGAGTCCCAGGGCTCAGACACAGGAGGAAGATGCCACAGCAACACCTGCATATATCTGTGACAATGAGGTTTCCTCCCTGCCTCATCTCCCCCAGAGGCTGTATTGGCTCTTACCAGGCTGTGATGAGGTACTGAGCCAAAGTGATGCTGACCGGTGTGCCTGTGATGGTCACATGACGTTCAGCAGACCCCTCTGTCTGATTCCCGATCTTGATGTGTGCTCCGGACATTTGCCGAATCTCACTGATCTTGCTCCCCTGGCGGCCAATGATGCAGCCAATCAGCTAAGGAGGACAAAGAAGAATCATCTTTAGGTGGGAAGGATGCCAGGAATTTCATCCCCCAAGAAAATAGCTGAACTAAGTTGCATGGAGAATACTGAATCATTCAGTGATAGATTTCTTGCAGTGAGAAACAGGGGACTGTCGGTGCCTTACTTACAGTAATGTTTACTTTTTAGGCAAGAAACCCCCAAGATACAAATAAATTCAGTAATGCCTTATTTAAGTTATGGAACTGATAGGCTGTTCCAATCTGTCACAAACTGGATACAGCACTAAAATCAAGGAAATACCTTGCCAAAAAGAAAAGTAACATTCAGAAACAGATGTTCCACAGATCGACACAGGATAAAGGGGTCTCTCATCCAATTTAGCCTGAGGCCTAAGGATAGAGTCAGATGTTATGGGCTTATTTAAATAAGGCCAGGGTGGAGCTGAACAAATCTGAAAGGAAATTATATTCCAGAGGGTAGCTGCATGACAGAGGCCTGCTTCTGGGTCTAACTGGGTGATATTTAATCAATTATTTATCAATTATCTACAGAATATGGCAGACTACTGGAGATAGGCAGTCCCTCAAATAACCAGGTCCTAGGTCATGAAGCACTTCATACATGATAACCAGCACCCAAACTGCATGTGGAGTTAACAGTGTAGCTCATGGGAAGGTTATTATAGGGACATACCATTGCACCCCAAATTGCTCACAGCATTGCATTCTGGACAAGCTACAGCTTCAAGAGCAGCTTCATACACAATGAATTACTGGAGTCCACAAGATGATCAAAACATGAGTGACTACCTTAATGCCTCCCAGTTTAAGTATGTTCACAAAGTAGAACACTAGAGAAATTATGTCAAAGTTTTCTGGTTACAACTTCCAGTTGTTGCAAAAGCTATGAGTCCAAGAAGACCCCAAATTTTGTTCCAGTTCTTGAGAAGGGAGTACAATCCTATCTGGGACAACAATGAAACCACTCCAGACTCAGGAGGTGCAAACATTCACAGCTACTCAGTCTTGTCAGAGATGAGCCTAAGCCCATCCTTTCCAAGCCAGGATCATACAAACTCCACATACTGGAATGAAACACTGATAATATCATTTGGTTACCCCTAAGCCAAGATGCATAATTTGACCCCAAGTTGACAGATCACTTCACTATGTGGCCTCATGCAGATGCTAACCAGGAGAGGTGGGAACACCAAACCTTAAGCCCTCCCACTTAAGAGGGGATTCTGGCTCAATTTCTTCTTCGTCAACATTTACTGAACCCAACCACAGAGAAAGGAAAATCACCACAGGAACACTTTCTCTCCATCTCCTACTCCCTTCAGGCAGTCCAGAAAGATACAATGATTGATGGTATCAAAAGCTGCCAAGAGATTAAGTAGAACCAGGATGATTACAGCTTCTTTGTTCCGACTCCATCAAAGTTATCAACAAATTCTAATACCATCTTGATATTATGCCCTGGTCTGAAACCAAACTGAAATCAGTCCAGACAATCTGAATCTTTCAGGGGCCACTGAAACTGTAACCTAGCGACATACTCAACAACATTGCTTTTCCAGGGAAGTTTGGAACCTGGATGAAAATTGCCTAGGACAGTTGGGTCCAGCAAAGGTTTTTTGAGGATAGGAAGCTGTGTTCAAGACAGGAAGTGCCACCATCCCCTCAAAGAAACACACCACACTGACCAAGGGCACATCACTGGATGGCCAGGAGGCTCATGGATCTAATATAGAAGTGCTAGGTTCATCAGCCCAGGGATACTGTCCTTTTCTGGGAGTCACAGATTCAAACTCAGATGTTAGTAAAGGACAGCATCAATCCTGTTTGTAGCTGTATGGGTCCCCAGGATTGTCCTTTTTAAGCTATTCAGCTATAAAGATTTGTTGGACCGAACCACTTTCTATTAAACAAGTGAGAGACTGAATGGGAAAGGAAAAAATAATTAAGTCATGTAGTTCAGGTTTCTACCAGACTGTGGCAGGAACTGACCTACAATAATAAAGCAGTGCAGTTTGTTTTGTAAGACTTTTTCTTTAAAGAAAATATTCCATCCTTCTTTTCCTTCTGCATATAAAACTGGGGCGCTATGTAAAGGTCAATGTTGCTTACTACCCACGTGCTTCCTGCCTTCAAAAAATGACTGAATAAAGTCTTCAGTTTCCCCAACAGTATCTGCTGGTATCTGCAGAGCAGGCTTGCAGCTGGGTTCTGGGTTTGGTTGTGTGGGTGAGTAACTGGCACATTCTTCTTTTAGCTTGATATTCTAGCGTTTGCTTCCAGGGAGGAGTGAGTGTGAGGCTTCTGAAGTTGGGGGGAAAGAGGGTTTAAAATACGTTTTTATCACCCTTCTCTCTTAGGACTTTCCTGTGTGATTACTGTGCTTTGTTGACTACTGCTAGTCCTGTGAGGTAGGCCAGGACAGGAAATGGGCCCCACAGGATTCTAGGAATGCTATGTTACTGTAGTAGAGTATAATAACAGAATCATGAAAGCCTACAAGACTTTATCTCTGTCCCCTCTTACACGAAACAGAATCAAGACAGGACTATTTTGAGATTCTTTCTCACTTTCTCAGAACTGAATTGTTGTTACATTTTCCTTAGCAGTTACTCTCTTCCAAAGTCATCTCTACATTCCTTTACAACCGCAATGACAACTGAACCTTGTGGTAAAAGGAAAAAGCCAAATGCTGATCAGACTCAAGTAACTGTTGATGCAAAACAATCTTTAATTCCTTTAATGTCTGAAGATTCAATTATTTCCAGATAATCCCTTCATGGTACAACGATTAAGTTACACATTTCCATGTCAGGCTGCCATGAAAGACGCGGCAGCACAATTAGTATTAAAAACGCAAATTGTGGTTTCGAACCTTCCTCCCTGGGATGGCCACCTCGGTGTAGACTGCATTATTACTTAAAACATTTGTCTTAGGTAGGGTGATGAAGCTTGGACTTTTAAGCATTACTAAGCTTAGGAATTGGCTTTCCACCTGCTTCCTTGTCTTAGAAGAGTTATAAATAACACCGTATTCTTTATGCTTAGACCTGGGATAGAGATAGCACAGGTCACTCAAGTTAATTATCTTTGTCAGATTCCAGATGGTGCAATGCCCTACTTTCAGCCTCCTCCTCCTCCTCCTAGAGGCCTTTGAGATCAAGGTGTCCTTCCAGACTGTTTGTGAGGGTTGAGGGTTGGGAGCACCATTTCACAGTCGTTCCATTTGGCAGATATAGTGAAGAGTTAGTCCAGTGGCTACTCTCCTGTGGGAAGCTATATAGGGCTTGTTTTCCTTCCCTTCCCTTCCCTCCCCCACCCCCTTTTGATATCTACATGAACGTCTTCTTTGTATTACTACACTGGGCTATGCTAGAGATGTTTTGTCCTCATATCTGAAGACTGTATGAGTCTGGATGGGATAGAGTAGGCGAGACCTGAATCCAAGTAAGATAGAGCCATTTGTGCATCAGGCTCTCTGTGTTTTCTTCTGACAGGAAATATTACTCCTGAATGAGTGGGGCTACAACCTGGGATCCTTCAGAATTCTCATCCTATGGTGGGTGAGCTAGTTGAGGCTGTAACTGGGGGATTTTCCCCCAAAGTTGACGAACATGCTATTTGTAACTCTGTCTGAAACAGGATTTTGCCACAAAAAACTAATACTGTTGACACTGCTCATCAAGACACCTGTAATGGACCCTACATGGATATGTCCTTGAATTTATCTTCTTTTCTTCACCACGGACCTCCTTTAAATACTTTTTCTGGCCACAGGACTAGCAGTAGTGGATAAAGCACAGATTTCAATCATAACATTTCTTGAAGCCTTTATGGACCTCCTGTGACAACATGGACCACTGTCTGAGGTTCACTGCTGTATTGCCAATTTGCCAATAAGTATTTTATGTTGAGAGCATATTATCCAGTGGTGAAATCCAAATTTTTTTACTACCGGTTCTATGGGCATGGCTTAGTGGGCATGGTAGGGGAAGGATACTGCAAAATCCCCATTCCTTCCCCACTCCTGGGGGAAGGATATTGCAGATTCACCATTCCCTCCCCACTCCTGAGGGTAGGATATTGCAAAATCTCCATTCCCACCCCACTCTGGGGCCAGCCAGAGGTGGTATTTGCCAGTTCTCCGAACTACTCAAAATTTCCGCTGCCGGTTCTCCGAACTGCTCAAAATTTCTGCTACCGGTTCTCCAGAACCTGCTGGATTTCACCCCTGATATTATCCCTGAAGTCTGGGCCGTGCATTGCCTCTCAAGAACTCCAGACAAAATTAATTTCTTAAAATAGGTATGCTAAACATTTAAGAGGTTCAACAACCCATTTTATCTTAAAACAAACAAGTCACACAATGCCAATTTTTTTTTTTAAAAAAAGATCTTGAATTTTCAAGTCTTCTGAAGTCTAATGAAACTACTGTATCCTGCCACACTTTTCGCCAGCTCTGAAAGCTAAAAATAATTACATTTAAAAACTGCATTGTCTAGAATTTAAAAAGTTGCCTGTGCTTGTTGTAGATGGCTAGCATATTAATTCTATTTTTAAAAGCTGTCTGCTACCTAACTATATTCCCCAAAGACCATAGTTCTGTGGCAGAAGACAAGGTTCTCAAGAAGACGATTCCTAAATCATTAACTGCCTACTCCAGTTCAAAATAATTGTATAACAGATGAAGTTAAAGCCCTTTCTCTATCCAAGACTCTGCAGATCTGCTATCCATCTGAGTAAACAATATTAGTTTAGTTGAAAAAAATAGCTGGACCCGCCATAAGGCAGCTTTCTCAATTGCAACAATAAAATAATTTGGATTTTTGATTCTGACATAGTTGCTTGGCAAAACTTGGCCCTTTATAGGGAAAGATTTGGCTGGGGCGTAGATTTCTGCTTTTATCGGAATGGAGTCCCTCTCTACAGACCTTGGTGAACAGGAGCAGAGGAAAGGAATAAAAAATGGTCTGGATTTATGCCCAATGAGCTTTTATACTGATGTGAAATGGGAGGAACGGAAGTGGGTACAATTACAACAGAGCAAACAAAAGACCAAACCAACCACAGCATTAACCCAACAGAGTAGGCAGCTCACATCAAAGTCTGACTTACATCATTGGGAACCAGAAACTCCTGAGAGCTATTCTGAGAGTTTGCATCCAGGCCTACAGAGAAAGAGAGAAAGAAGAAACAGAATTACTGGGGCCCTTTGGCTACCCCCCTGGTTACTCCTTGAATGGGTATTTCATAATCCTGCCTTCCCTAGAATAAGCTAGAACTGAAACGTTAGCATCTTAAAGATCCTTTCTAGGCACCATAGTTACAAAGAGCAGGGAGGACACAAAAAGGATTGGATGGCTTCCCAGCTCTTGCAAAGCAATCAGCAGCTCCAAGAAGAGGCTTTTGTTTTATGCCATTTCACTTAGGTCACATTACACAGGACTAATTTTAGATAGTCCCGGTGGAATTCCAGCCTATCCTTGCCTCTTCCTGCTTGATGCGGACCCCATTGGCTACAGATGCTCTTTTGTCAACATAAGAAACAATCCTTGTCCTTATTCAGATGGTAAGAGTTTTGGTTCAATTGCATGGATTTGCTGCATTTTTACAGGGGCTACTTGGAAAAGCCAAGTTCAACGGATGAATAAACAAAACCCAAAAGAAGGATTCTTATTGTTATGCATTGTTTATCTGAGCTCCTTCCATTAAAAGAGATTTCAACTTTGGGCTTGTAGCTTCATCCAGATGTTCAGCTCCTAATTATTCTTGGAATAACTGAATCCATCAATTCAATGTTGACTCTGAGCGACCACACAGATAGACCTTCTCCAGGATGATCCGTCCCTGACCCAGACTTTCAAATCTTATAACAGTGACTGCACCCACTGCTTCTGTAATTGAGTCCATATACTTGGTTGCCTTCTTCTGTTTCTTTTCATTTTTTTCCAACTTACAGACTTCTCAAGAGAGCTCCAGATATATCTAAAATATGATTATGTGAGCCTGGGCATTTGTCTCTTTAATACGAACCATAGCTTGATTTGTTCTATGATCCATGATTGGGTTTTTTGGCCATCCAACATCACTGCCTTCAAATATCAATACTTTTTCTAGCCTGCTTCTTCAAACTACTTGAAACTTTGCCTGGATACAGTTCAGGAATCTGTATAGTTGTTGTAAAGATTTTATTTCCATAAAGTGTCACAGGAAAAACCACTGTGCAATGAAGTCATTTGCATTTTCAGCTATTCAAATAGTGTCTTGTCATCAGCATAGCTAAGGCTATTGATGTTTCTTCCTTCAATTCTAAAACCACACTCATCTTTTTCTAATCTAGTTTCTCTCAATATATATTCAGGATGTATATTAAAAAAAAAAATAAGGGGAAAATTTTGTCTCACTCCTTTGCCACGTGAAGCTAATCTATTTTGTTATGTTTGTGTGGATGATGGCTTCCTGTCCTGTGCATAGATTTTACATTAGGACCAAAATCAAAGGATATTGTGTAAACTGTTGCTTTGTTCTTTGCTTAATGGCTTTTCTGTGATAAGAACAAAGATGCTAAAACTATTTCCAGCAATATCAGATCCAGCCAGAATGATACATGCATTCGTTATGCCTCACTTGCATTCCTGCAATGTGCTCCGTATGGGGCTGCCTTTGAAAACTGCTCAAAATCATTTGCTGATTCTGACTGCTGCCACAAAGCTGCTTTTCAAGATTTGCTATAGATAGCAAGAGATCACATATTCCTTCATCTCTCTCTCTCTCTCTCTCCCCCTCCCCCCATCTCTCTTGTGTGTTTGTGTGTGTGTGTGTGTGTGTGTGTGTGTGTGTGTGTTTGTATTTAGAGAAATAAAATGAGAGACATTGAGAAAAAGTGTATGCTTGGCCTCTTGAGCTGATTTCCTTTGTTCCTCTCCTCTGTATTTTAATCTGAAGATTGTTATAATGATGGATATATTGAAAATTAAAAGTTAATAAAAACAAAAATACTAGTAAGGTGAATTTGCAAAATATTATTCTTTAACGGGGGACTGACTGATGGTGCTCTATAACTTATTTTTAACATCTGAATTTAAACAATGTGGCTTCTATGGTTTCAGCTTATCCTGTTTTTGTGAGTGCAATAATTGTTCTCTGTAAACTACAGGTTCTGCTTTAGTTATGTATGAACCCAGTGTATTGCAATTTATTCAATACACCATGACTTATTATGAATTAGGATTCTGGTCGGTGCTTAGGAAATAGCCACCGATTGTTCTAGAAGATGAGAACCACTTTGGAAATTGGTCTAACAGCTTTCTCTCCCCCCCCCATCCCCCCGGCCATATTTCTTTCCTGTCCTGCTGTAGATGATGTAATCCAGATGTCTGTGTTTGGCGCAATCAATTACAGTTTTTCAAGCAGACTGAGAATGACCCAAGTGATCTACAGTTGGGCTCAGTAAGCATCTTAATAAGTGGGTGACTGTCCTGGAGATTATGTATAAAAATTGAGGTGCACATTAACAAATCAATAATCATTAACCCAATAATGCTACCTCACCAACTGTGTCCTTTTACAGACATATTTCCTATTTAAGTCTCTGACTCAAGTTTCCCCAATAATTATTTTTTATTCTTAGATTGCTTTCTTTTTCCATGAAAGATAGTCTTACTGACCCAGCATCCTCCATGAATGCTGGACCACAACTTCCATAATACTCATCCAACCAGTCTGCCCTTGGGATAATGCTCACACTTAGAGGATGGGAGGTTGAGGCAGGCTGCTATAAAATTACAGGCTAGAAACATAAGTGTCTTAACGGAGGCTCTCAAATGCTCTCCACAATTCTTTTGCTTTCTTCTTTTAGTATTTATATCCCAAATAAATCCTCAACAATGCATTAGATTTCACATCAGTTACCAATACCAATATCATATCTGTCACCAATCCACTGCCTGATCTGTAAAAAATCATTTTAATGCAGATTCATTTTTATGCCTATTTTATGCAATTCAAAGGTATGGCATGAAAGAATGACTCCATAAGTTTATCTGTAACTCTAATAAAAATACTGTTTACATTTTAATAAAAGACATATTTTTCTTTGGAATGAAATGTTTTATTTGTTCATGTTATATTGTTCTAGTGACATTTCTTGGTGAAAAATTACTACTAATTAGGTTTATTTATAAATATGTTTCTGTCTACTCTCTCTGCAAAAAAAGTATAGTCTTTAAACTATAATTAATAATCTGAGATTATTAGAAACTATATAGCCTTATCTGATCTCAGAACTCTTACACTAACTCTCTTACCTGCAACTAGAGATGGAGTTTGTGCCAAGGATGAAAATGAGACAGGATGTCCCGAAAGCTGCTGCAATTTTGTCACCTGCACAATAGGAAGAAAAAAACCCAGATAACCCTTAAATATAAATAATTGACAATTCTATGTAAGTGGTTCTTGACTATCTTGGAGGGTCTCTCAAAGCTCAAGAATCTCTCACAGCTGAAAAATCTGTGTTTCATTTCACCAGTTTGTGAAAAGGAACCAATGAAACTCTATCAACCACTGTGTTTGTATTACTGTTTCAAATAAGTCTGGGGTAGTAAACTTTATGAAGATATCTTTTATGAAGCAATCTTGAGCTATCCATCTCATAACAACAGAGGCTTTTTCACTATGGTTCATGCCAATTTTAAATTAGGTTTCTGCTATAGCTGTAGGATCGTCTCCGTCCGGTTAAACAGAGTTACTACTAAAGATATAAAAAGTTTTCCTGAAGGTCAAGATTCATTGACTGGTTAAAACTAAATCATTCTAAGTGCTTTGTAAATTCTGCCACAGCCTTTAATAGCTCACCTCAATACAGTGCCCTCAAGATCTGTCTGTGATCTCCAGACACTATGGAGAGGCCAATATACTTGAAACACCTGGTCGGAAAGATGATGCTTCTATAATCTTTTCAAGAAAAGAAGCATAGGATGGGTCAAGTCCAGAGACCAAAAACAAGTTGTGAGGATCACAGAGGGGAAGACCTGGAGTTTAAATATAAATTGCCGGCTGGACTCACCTCAGCTTGAGATATTCCACTGTATTGTCCTTGCATGGAAAATCCCTACAACATGGGAAAATAATGACAAAGAAGAAAGATATTCTGAAAATATATTAGAGCTTCCTTGAAAAGTTCATTTATTGAAAGGGTTTAAGAATAAAGAAAGAAAGAAAAACATAGGGGAAAAGTGACAGGTGCAGTTGCAGCAGAAAAAGAGAGCTGGACAATGTTTCCCATTTTGATTTTAAAAAGATACTTCAGGGTTCAAGCAAGCATTGCACCTGTCTGCCATTAGTTAAAGCAGAGCTGCCTCTGATGCTACCCTAGGTTGCCAAAACAAATGTTCTTTTCCAAGCTTGATTGAATGGCCTGAGCCTTTTCATTTACAAAAAAAAATGGCCATTTCCATACCTAATGTGTTACGTTTTTAGTTTGTTCAATTTACACAATATTCTCCTCTTATGATCTATTTTATTTGAGCTGAAATGTAAATGAGATGCTCTGAGTTTAATATTCAGAAGAGTTAAGTACTACTACATATTATTTTAAAATGGCCACCAACACCTTTACACCTTTACAATTAATGCTGATTGTTACCAAGAAAAGTTGAATATACTGTATATCAGTGCTTTGTCACTGGCTAAAACTAAGTCACCCTCATTCATTTTACTAAGAGCATTTATACGCAGTAGTAATTTGATTTATTCAGTCATTCAGCATTTTTGTGCATTAACTCATACATCTTTGGCCATCTAGTAAATATGTTTTAATTTTTAAACAGTAGTTAATGTTTCTCAGTTGTACTGCAGTATAAAAAGTGATTAAAATTAATACTGTGTGCATTATGATCATCAAAGTAGAACAGTGCAAGAAAAACAAAACAGTAGTGGCTTTTGTTCAAAATTATAGTGAAGTCTCATTGAAATCCCTACAAACTGATTTACTATATAATACGTTAATATCTGTTTTTTTCTCCCTAAGACTTATAGGTTCAGATGGCAATCCTGTCTGGCGGAAATTAAAATTATGACACTTCCAAATCTGGATTATATTGTCAATTGTTATTATGCAGCTTTGGTGAAGAACATTTTTTCTTCCTCTTTACATATCTTTTACATATCTTTAATTATCTCCATGTAGTTTCAGTAATTCTTTAAATTAGGAATGTGCATAGTGCTTGTCAGTCTCCTTGTGACTGACAGTAAATAAACACATAAAATTTGTTTTTGTTTTTTTAATTATTCTGCTTTTATTTGGCTCATATTAGCAGTTAGATTGTACTAGGATTTCAATGCTAGTATAAGAAAGAAATAACACATGCTATGAGTGCCATCAGTTAGGGACCTACCTTCCCTGCTGTGGTCTAACCCTAACCCTAACCCTAACCCTAACCCTAACCCTAACCCTAACGAAACATTCTTTCTCCCAAATATTAGATTAGCTCCATCCATGATATTCCAGAACTTCCTCAAGACCTCATTATCAGTCCTGTGCTCCCAGGGAACCAGAGAATGCTTCTTCTTTGCTGAGGTGTGCATCTTTATCCTTTCTCTGCCTAGGGATTGTATACTTGTTTTTTTTATAATATTTATTTTTTAATGTAGATTGTTATATCTTTATATCTGTTGTATTTATTTTTGTTGTTTTATTTGATTGCTGTATGCCATCGAAAGTTGCTTTTTGTGAGATGGGTGGCCATACAAAATAAATGAACAGATAAAACCTGGGGTTCACGTAGACAGGAAAGTTGACAAACTGATTATATTTTCCTTCCTTCCTTCCTTCCTTCCTTCCTTCCTTCCTTCCTTCCTCCCTCCCTCCCTCCCTCCCTCCCTCTGTCTCTAAAAGTCTGAAACCACCCCTTAAACCTCACTCTTCTAGTCAGAATCTCTTACTAAGAATGGTTTGTCCTGACTTATAGAAACGCAAGAAATGATTGCTCAGTGCATGGTCAGCTCTCTCACTTCAGGGACTGCTGAGAATCACTGGGGTTCCTTTCAAGGTTATCAGGATGCTCAAATTAAAGAAAATCCTTTTGTGTTCTCCAAGGCAAACACTATGTTATTTATTTAATTTATGTGCTGCCCATTTCCCTCTATCATCAAACATAAATGAGATCATAGGTATTTTCATCAACTCTGGACTCTTTTTGGTTAGATTCTTTTAATGATACAGGAATACATAGGAAGTTGGCATGCTGCAAACAAAGCACCATGTAGGAGAAGCAACGGCAGAATTTAGGGGTGGAGTTAAAAGAGGGATCAGCCTACAATCCCTATGTAGCCACAAACAAACTTCCACTCTTATGACCCTTATATAACTCTAACCAGGTGTTGATCAGTTAGTTGAGATTTTTGTACATAGGTCTTTTAGCAATAAATCGGCTTAACTGTGTGAACCTTTCTTTTCATGCCTGACAAACCAGTTTCTAGCATCTTCTTCATTTACAAGAAAATATCTCAGCCCCAGAAGGTAAAAATGTATCCAGTGGTTTCTTTGGAAGCACTCCCATCAATGCAAAAAAAAAAAAAAAAAGAACAACTTAAAGTTGTATTCTTGGGGTTAACACTAGGAGAAGATAGCAACCTTGCCAGTTTGTCTGCCAGGAAATGTTTTACAACTGGCCACTTCCACTACTACACACATATCGTAAATAGGCAAGCTCCCCCTCCTAATATTGTATCCCAACTGCTCTCAATAAATGGCAATCCAAATTCCAGTTATGTTGAGAGTATTACCTATATCAGGCAGAAGCTGGTTTGGATACCCGATTCCTCTTTCCAGCATTTTCCCAACTGCTGCAGCTAATATTCCTATTGATCTGCCCCCATGTTCCCAGCACATTCCTGCTGGCCTGCTCAATCTCTAGTCTCTCACCGTCCTGCCTTTCACGTGTCTTCTTGCTGGCCCATCCAACTCCCATCTTTCAAACCTCTTCCCACTAATGCTATCATAACATGGGAACCCAAAACCTCTTTATGTCTTGGCAAAACAATCTACTGATAGTTTATTTAAAGGTCTCTTACCTGATTGGCTGACAGGAGAACCGGTCCCAAGGACAAGCTGGGATGGTAAGGAATCGTGGCACCTTTTGGGGGTGACTGAAGGAAATCAGAAGGAAGTATCACTGCACAATGATACCTTTCTGTACCCCAAGCTGCTTTCTAATGCCAACAGGCACTGCCTTCTATCATACAACAGGCATTCTTGGCATTACATCAAGAGGGGATATTTTTAGCTAACTCCCGTTTGGTTATGCTGAGTAATTTCAGCATATGGGCAGGATATGAAAAGTAAAAGATCACCTTTGATCATGCTTAGTCTCTTGCCCCTAGTAGACAATTAAAGGAAGAGAATACAAGAGAGTAAGGAAAGTTGCTACTTATTCTATATCCTTTGGGAAGGAAATCTATCTTTGACATGGCTGTCCAGCAAACTGCAGATTTTGATAAATCAAAATTATCCCAAGATTTCTGCTATGGAAATCATCTTCCCCTGTGTAATCAAGGTGGGAGAAGTCTTCTGGGCAAACGACTCAGAAAGGGAGCACCAGATTGGTGTTCAGAAGGTCAGGCATTGCTGTGAAAGATTCCTGCCTGAAATCCTAAAGCACAGTATCTAGAAGAGGGTACTTGATACTTAACTCATTTAAATGTCTGACTCGACAGTTATGCAAATGTCCTTTTTTGCTTGCTTGTTTGCTTTCCTTAGAAATAGGTCTGGCAGCTGCAAATAGGAATTAACAGTAATATGCTAGAGGTACACTTAAATCTTTCTTTATAGGCCATCTGACCAATCAAATCGCTACACAATAGAAAAGAAAGGTTCGGGGATGACCATCTTTTCTCTTTAGAGTAGAAAAGCAGCTAGACAGCAGACTATTAACAGTATAAAATGTTTACAAATAAAGAAGTGCATGTGCATAAGCGGATGTGCCTTCCTTCCTTCCTTCCTTCCTTCCTTCCTTCCTTCCTTCCTTCCTTCCCAACATTTATTTACCGTATTTCCCCCAAAATAAGACCCAACTGGAAAATAAGCCCTAGCATGATTTTTCAGGATGCTCGTAATACAAGCCCTATCCCAAAAATAAGCCCCAGTTAAGATAGTCAGTCAGACAGGCACATTTAGTACCGTATTTCCCCAAAAATAAGACCTAACCAGAAAAAGAAGCCCTAATGCATCTTTTCGAGCAAAAATTAATATAAGACCTGGTCTTATTTTTGGGGAAATACGGTAGCTGTTCATCTTACAACCAACTCTGGGCAGCTCACAATACACATGCATTGCTGCCGCCACTGTTCATTTAAAATTATATCCGCAATGTGGGGCAGGGTGGGAGGGGAGGTTTTATGGTATCCACAGTGGCCACACAGGGAAAAAAAAATCAGAATGGCACTTCAAGCGGATACAAGGTTTTGAAGTACCCAAGGAGTGCCTCTGAACCCAAAGTCCCATTTATCCACAAAAGAGCAGAGTGTTATCCTCGCCTGACACATGAGAGTAAACAAAAGCTGTACCTCCAGTATAACTGCACAGATCTGTCGCACGCACTGGATGATGGCATCTGGTACTCCAGAGACTGTTACAGCCCTTTCAGTGGAATTGGGGAGAAGGTCTCCAGCCACCTGGACTTGAGCACCTGTTGTCTGGAATGAACAAATGCTCTGTTTTTCTCAGCAGCCTCTACTTACATGGAGCTGGGTCAAGAACATTTTGTAATCCCGTGAGATTATTATGGCATTTTTTGAAGGAGCTAATTTATTCAGAGATCTAAATGTTTCCTGTGATACCTCTTCCCTGACATAGATATGACTTCTTGTACAAACAAAATATTTCATTTGACTTTCACAAAGAAATGCAAATGAAAAAAAGTTGTAAACTTAGTTTCAGTTTTTATTTAACAAGAAAGAAGTGTGCAAGCCGGTTTCTGAGATTTAAGCCACTCACTCTGGGAGCATCACATCAATAGCAATGAAACTAGAAAAGAAAAAAGTTAAGGCACAAAAAATAAAAAAAAAATAAGAAAGTAACAGTAATGCTCAAGTGAACAAGATAAAACGATTGAAGGCTCTACCTCTCGGATTTCCTTTATTTTGGCTCCACCTTTGCCAATGAGTGAGCCACACTGGCTAGCTGGGATGACCAGCCTCAGTGTTACGGGTGGTTTGGAGACGGTACCTCCATTGGTTGCTCCATTTCCCAAGTCCTGAAATAAAATAATTTGTACTCAATTCAAGTGCAAAGGGATCCTTTCAAAGCCATATTTAGTTATTATTTGTACGCAATTTTGTGTTAAAACCCCCATTATAGGTAAAAAAAAAATCCTAAGAATTTAATTCTCCTCTCCTAATTTCTAAGATCCGCTATTTGATGATATTTGATATCCAGTTTGGGTTTTTTTTTTTTTTTGGCATGCTGCATTCCTAATAATATTCTGTCTTGTTTTTTGTTTGTTTTTTAAATCACAGATACAATTTGGTGAGATATAAATACAGTGACATCACCCCCATTGGCTTTAATATGGTTGTTTTGAATTCCTAGGGAAACTTAAACTATATATACCAAGAGAAGCATGTTACAACAAATGGCTGTTTAACCTTAATGCTTTAAGGAGATACAGTACATGCCAGAAAATTATTAAGAACTCTGCTTCAAAACACCACTACAAAATCAATTTTCTCAAAAATAAATTGCATAACTCTCTTCCTTCTTTTTGGCAGGAATGGTATGAAATCTCACCATTTGATCATAGATGCAACAGCCATTGTAAGCTCTCAATAACTAGACATGGTTTATATGGCCAATGCCAGCTTTCACTGGAAAGCTTCTAGCTTTAATGGAAAACTGATAGATTTTTTTAGTGTTACAATATACTTAATGTGAGCAAGTAAGACATGCTCTGGGAGCAACATGCAGCAGACGGAGACTGGGGCTACTTCACCTCCTCCAGCTTGAAGGCAATCATGGAAACAGCTCTGAAAACAGCATCCGTGGAACCTGTAATGGTAGTGATCCTCTCAGGGCAGGATCCTTCTGAGATGGTAATCCGGGCAGTACTCTAAAGACACAGCAAACCAGGAATAATCATGGAAAAATAGGCTTTAAGTTTTCTAATTGTTTATAGAACGCTTCTACCAAGTGCACAAAATGTTTCATAAACATCCCAATATGCCAAGTAGCTGGCTGCTATCGGCATACTGCAGATGTGGCTGAGAAACAGAAGAGATAGGCCCTGTCTGTTTGGGGAGTCTAGTCTGAATTTAAATTAGAAGCAACGACTTCATGGCTCACATCTCTTTTTCTCATCCCTGCATTTGTCTGAGAGGTATCTGCTAAAAGAACAGTTTGCTGTGGTGGTTAAGGCATCAGGCTAAAAACCATGAGACTGTGAATTCTCATTCCACCTTGGGCACAAAGTGACTTTGGGCCACTCTCTTTCTTTCAGCCCTAAGAAGGAGACAAGGGCAAACACTTCTGAAAAACCTCGCTGAAAAAACTGCAGGGACTTGTCCAGGAAATACCTAAAAATTGGACACAACTGAACAGAATAAAAATAAATCTGCTACTTGAGAATCAAATCCTCTCATTTCAAGAGAGGATAAATTGAAAAGTCAATGGTCGTCATACCTATAGTGTCCTCTTACTATTATTGCATCATAGAATGTAATAATATATTTAATATAGATAATAAATTCTGTTTCATTTCTATTTTCCAATCCTGTTCTCATGAAGTCTTTTGCATTGTGAGCTTAACCTAGATTAATACTGAAATAAAGCTGGCAAATCCAACAGTGGCAGTTAATTATCAATAAAGACATGATGTAAAGCTTCAAAAAAAAAAAAAAAGGCACAGCAATGTTGGAAAAAAAGAGCGCCATCATTGGGCAGGTTCATGCAGTATAGTATTAAAGCATCTCTGAGGATTCTGTAGAGATTCTCAGTCATCCAGGTTATGGTTGTCCCAAAGGTGCTTTTTCAGGAGGCAACTGGACTTTCTTGTTTTTTGTTTTTTTTTATTTTAATTTATATGCCGCCCTCCTCCGGAGACTCAGGGCGGCTTACAATACGTTAAGCAATAGCCTTCATACTTTTGTATATTTATACAAAGCTTATTGCCCCCACAATCTGGGTCCTCATTGCACCTACCTTTGAAAGGATGGAAGGCTGAGTCAACCTTGAGCCTGGTGAGATTTGAACTTGCAGTAATTGCAAGCAGCAGTTGTTAATAACAGTGCTTTAGTTCACTGTACTACAGGCTCTTTCAAGCTTTCAAGGTTTTCTTTGAAGACATTTTGTTTCTCATCCAAGAAGCTTCTTCAATTCTGACAGGATAGTGGGGATAGTTGTCTGCAAGGAATATAAATTCTTCCATTCCCCATTATCCTGTCAGAGCTGAAGAAGCTTCTAGGATGAGAAACGAAACGTCTTCAAAAACAACAACAACAACAAGAAAGTCCAGTTGCTTCCTGAAAAAGCACCTTTGGGACTTTTGAGGGTAGAAATACCGGTACTGATCTCATCTAGTAGTGTTTAAGTTTATTCAATGACAATGAGGAGCTAGAGGGAAGTGTATTTATTATTGAAGAATCTACTTTAGAATAGTTATGAATTACATTCAGAAAAATAGTGACTACAAGTAGGTTGATCCTGCTTTCTGTCTCTCCATATTTTCTAGCACTTTCCTCTTGATCCTCATTCTGCCTCCCTACTTTCTCCCAACAGATTTTCACTTTTGTTAGAAATTCATCCAGCTAGAACTATCAAGTAGATAGCTTCTTCCCATCCTCAGCAACTTTAAGATGAGTGGATTTTAACTCCCAAATTGTTTGGCTGGGGAATTCTGGGAGTTGAAGTCCACACATTTTAAAATTGCCGAATTTGAGAAACGCTGGAATAGCAGATCACCTGTATTTGGGCTATTTCCCCCCATGATGCCTACCTGTTCTCGTATCTTCTTCACAGTCTCTCCTTTCTGTAGGATTAAGGACAATAAAGACAATTAGTCTTAAAATGTAGAGCAAAGGAATTTTGAAAGCACAGAGTGACCTGCATTGATCTTACCTTGCCTATGATGCTGCCAACTTCCTGCAGAGACAAGAGAAATGGGGTTAGAAGAGATATCCAAATCTGTAAGAGTCTAGCAATGCCTGAACATATACTTTTGGCTGGAAAATGAGGAAGCAATCGCACACACCTTCTCAAAAAATAAAATAAAGTTAATTCATGATTTGACAAATTAAATGAAAGGGTTATTCTCCCTTTCATGATCATTCTTTTTCTTCTCCTTCACTATTAGATGTTTTAAAAAACTTAATGTTGAATTTGTATTAATCTTGTCACCTTGGCAATTTAATCCATTATTTTGCTTTAACTGATTAATTCACAACTGCACTTCAAGCGTCTCTGCAGAGTACTAAAAAACTGACTATAGGTTGGAGATAATATTTCAGACTCGCATGCAAATTTGGAACAGTACTGTAGCACACCAGGCTTTAATATTGGGATTTGCAAAATAATACTTCCCTGCAGTTCAACTGGCCATTCTGCCCCGTGCAAGATTTGTTACTAACTATGCAGAGACCAAGACTGAAGCCTAATATGGCAGTCCTAATGTACTTACCTTTCCATGCATAAGCATCCGGAGAGTGAGAGTAATGCTGAGTTCTGTTTCCTCCAATCCATTATCTGAGCCACTCATCCTATCTGGTGATGCCACGGTGTAGGAATGCATGGATTTGCTTCTAAGGAAAATCAACACCCTGGGCCTAGAAGGTGTTGAAGTCGGCAAATCTGCAGATGCAGAGAGAAAAATTTAAAAAAAAGTCTCATATGGTATCTTCCTTGTAAATCAGCTCCTTAAGTTGGAGGGTTAAGGGCAATTAGTATTTTATTGATTCATAAAATTTATTGGCCACCCATTTTACCATAGGATAATTCTGGAGTTACATCTTAGTTAAAACATACAGTAACATGTTAAAATCAAACCTTACAGTCAAAGACATGGGAAGGACAAGGGTGGAATGGGGGAGAGGTGGGATCTCTTATTACTCAATCAACCATTCCATTGTGCTGTTCCCCACTGGGGCCTCAAGCTGACTGGCACAGCCACGTCTTTAGGCTCTTACAAAAAGATAGGATTGGGGCCAACCTCTCAAAGGGGGGCAAGATGTTCCAGAGGGCAGGAGCAACAGCAAAGAAGGCCCTCCTTCTGGACCTCGCCAGCCGGAATACTCAGGCTGACAGGACCACAGCAGGCCTCCTCTGCCGGCACGCATGGTATGGGCCAATCCCAGTGGGACAAGATGGTCTCTCAAGTAACAATGCCATGAAGTATGGCCTTTAAGGTGATCACCAACACCTTGAATTGTACCCAGAAGGAGACTGGTAACCAGTGCAGCGTTGTTTCAGGAGCCATTCTTGGGGCCCCCAAAACTAACCGTGCTGCTATTCTGCATCAGCTGTAGCTTCCAAATGCTCTTCAAGGGTAGCCCCATGTAGAGTGCATTACAATGGTCCAGTCGTGAGATGACTAGGGACTGAACAACTGAGTGTAGGGAATCCTGATCCAGAAAAGACTGCAACTGGCACACAGCACAAAGTTGTGCAGAGGCTCTCCTAGCCACGATTGCCACCTGTTCCTTGAAAGAAAGTCATGAGTCCAGGAGAACCCCCAAGTTGCGGACCAGGTCTGTCTGGGGTAGTGCCACCCCATCCAGAGTCAAAGTTGACAAAATCCTGGATCCCGGAGCGCCGCGAATCCAAAGCTATTTGGTCTTAGTAGGGTTCAGTCAAATGTTAGTAAGAAGGGGTTGGCTTTTATGCAACATCCCTTGATACTCCTGTCTCAGAGCATCTGGAGAATAATGATAATTGTGATGAAGGGAAACATCATATAAGCAAACATGGCTTATTTAGCCATTAGGAAGGAGAAAACTAATGGAAACACATATCTATATCTGATCTGTAAAATATTATAATCCATATACATTTAAAAAATACACAGTAGTGAAGCCAACTGCAGGGTGAACAATCATGGAGGTCATATTTATTCAAGTACATACATATGGAATTGTATTCATCCACCAACACATATTTACCAACCTACCAGGTATATAAGTAGCAGTCACAAATATGGTTGTTTGATTTTGACCTAATATGGTATGTGAAGACAGATATAATATGTAAAGCATGCTTTATGACTTGGCATTATGGATGAACCAGGTCACTTCAGTTTGTTCTACAAACTACCGGTATGTCTAGAATAGCTACTTATACAAGTAGGAGAAGTTTTTACTCCAAATGTATCTTGAAGAGAAACAGTCTATAGACTTGTTTGTATCTACAGATGGATCAATCTCGTTCTTACACGCAGCTCAACCATTCCTTCCTATCCTCCTTGCTCCAGAAATAATATTGATCTATTTATGCCTCCCTGGAATGGAATGGTAATTTTTCATAGCTGAAAGCAAACATTATGAAGTTAAATTGTGGACAATAGATCCAAAGATACATTTCCTCCTTGCTTGAGATCCTTCTTTCCCCAGCTACCATCCACACAGAAAAACCAAAGCAGAAGAAACTGATGATTCTGGTTAGCAATGAGAATCCCCACCCCCTGCAAAAAAAAAAAAAAATCCAATTTATGATTGCAAGTGTGTTTCCTATATGCACAAATCTCTACTTAGATAAGATGGCACCTGGCTCCAGATATCTATCATACCTTAATTACAAAAATCAAGTGACCTATTTATAGATATATCAGCTTTATGCTGAGGTCCTCCAGATGTATTGCAGTTCAACTTCCATAATCCCTCTGCTGACCATGCTATCTGGGGAATTATAAGAGGTGCCAGGTTGGAGGAAAATTAATATAAATCCATAGATGAAAACCATACAGAAAGGAACAATTATATGCATTCAGTTTCAGCTTTACCAAAAATGATTGTTATGAGAAATGACCTGAAAAAAGAGTTTATATATTGCAAAGATTCCTGGTGGTTGTCTCAGCCCATCTTTGTCTTAATACTTTTATGTATCCCATTGGAGTTATGTATAGAGCATGGCTAACTCTACCACCATGTCACAATGGCATTACAAAGCACAGCTCTTAGAGGCAAGGCAATGCTGGATATTTATTCTTTTCTCAAAATACTTATTTTGCTTTCTAAGACAGCAGAACCTCCACAAATATTTTTGTCTCACTTTCAGAATAAGTCTCTCTCTCTCTCTGCGTAGATATATCAAAATATATATCAAAAACTTCCCTTGAATTCAATTTACAGGATAAACTGAATACAAGTAAATGCTGGGGAGAGGCTGTTAAGAGAGAGAAAAACATTTGCAGAGATTGATGCAGGTTTTGGCATGGAATCAAGAAATGGTACTTTTTTTCTTCACTATTTCTTTACAGCTTAATGGAAGGCATTGGAAGAGCTGCTAAGTGGTCGTCTTTCATATATTTGATTGCTTGCTAATGCTTAGTGATTTTTCTTCCAGTGGCCCCAGCCAAGCACGCCTACCAACAAGGGTGGGGCATCGGCCAATGTTCTGCTGCTGTAGATGAGAAAAACATTTGTCAACTGCAATACGGCTAGCAAGAGGGAGAAAAGATCTGAACTGCTACAGAAAGGCCCCTTAAGAGGCTCCGTCCAGTAGTGCTTGCTGTTAGGAAAACTGATGCTACTTCAGAGATTGATGCCGTCTGTCTGCCTGGGTGCCTGTCTGCTTCCACATGATCAATATATAAATAGGAAAATATTACCAATTTACTCAAAGTCTTGGCAGTCATCTTGAATTTGGGATGTATGTGTGTAGTGTGTACAAAGTATTGTTCAAAAGCATTTTTTCCCCTTTTGGAATCATCCTATAATATCAGGGCAGAGAGTGAGGAAAAAGAGAGAAAGAGAAAGAGAGAGAAAGAAAGACAAGAAAGAGGGAGAGAGGGAGAGAAAGAGACTGCAGGACAAAAGATTTAGCATTTCTCGTCTGTGTGCTCAACCACAACAAAGCAACCAAGGGCTTAAAAATAGGACTGGGTATATGATAAAGGGCTATTTTGAAACTCCTGGCCTCAGAGACAATCTGGTTTGACATTACAGGATTCTCCATATGACAATATACAGACAAAAACCCTCCCCAAGAAATTTGTTTCAGGACATCAGAATAAATCCTGGTACTGGTCCTGTGAATCAGATCTCCAGAAATATAGTATGAATGTCATGATGAATAACAGTAAACATTAGTAGATTTGGCCACATTACTGGAGTGTCTCTCAGGCAAATAACAAGTACTACGGTAAGTGCTGAGCTAACTCCAGATGGCCTCGGATTAGAAGAAACAGCCATGCTGGCTCAGGTCAAGCCAGTAGAGCTGATAATGAGATGCCCTTGGGAAGCTTGTAAGTGAAACCACCTGAGTCCCATAATGCTCTTCTCTTTTCTTATTGCATCAACTGCTATGCTGGGGCTATCATGTAAAACCACTAAGGCTAGTAACTGTTGGGTCTTAACTTTTATGAATCTGCCTCTTAATCCTTTCAGAAGTGGGTGGGTGGATGGATGGCTGATGTTACATTTAGAAGAGTGTTTTTTGAACTTGTCTCTGAACCCTTTCCCACTTTTAAAAATTGTGGAGGACTCCCCCCAAAGAACTTTTGGTTGCATGGATTATATTTATTGATATTTATTATATTAAGAAATTAAACTTGACACATTCACTTCTGCAACTTCTCAACATTGTTTGATGGGATTTTAATATTGTATTTTTCAATATGGGCTGGTAATAATTCTGATTTCATAGAATTATGTGAAACCCTGTGAAGGGTTCTAGGATCAAACTCAAGAAACATTGATCTAGAAATAACAAAATCCATGAGGAAGCATTGCTTTAATCTGCTCCAAATTATCTATCATTCAGCTCAATTGAATGACCCATATCAAGTTCAATGAGAGGAGGGGGAAAAAACACTTTCTATTCACTTTCTGATTGGAGTGCATTTTATATACCTCTCTCATACACCCTCCCCATCATCTCTTTTCTAAACCACTGATGGATCTTGATGCTTGCTCCTAATTTTGCAACTGAGACCTCCAACTGTCCTGTGATTTCAAATAAGTAGAATAAATCTGCTTATTTATTTCTGGGTTCAAAAAACCATCTTACAGGACTTCCTATGCTCATAAGATAGTATACAGAAAATACTCCAAGTCATAATGATGTGAAAGTTCCTTAAATTAAAACCACATAACATCATCTTAAAGTGAGTTGTTACAATCAGTCAAGCATTGAAATTACTTAGGAGGAAGTGGCTCTGAGTACAATGCAGAGAATCAGACTGCAAAGTAAATTAATTGTTTGAATTCAAATGTACTGAGCTGTCATCTTGTTTTAAAGCAGAGCTTTTATTTTTAAAGACATCTCCCTTTTCTTAGAAATACTTCCTGCCAAGCTCAGAAAGACTAAGGTCTCATTATCTTTTTTAAAAGCACTTGAAAAACCCTTTACATGTATTTATCTGCAAAGGGGATAAGTTACAATTAATGCTGTAGTACTATTATAGCCTTTACATAGATCATAATATCTCTGTATTTTTACAGTTAACCTCTATGTTTAAAGTAATATGCCATTACAGTCTTTTTGTACACCCAAGGATACATTTATAAAATGTGTAATAATATCAGTTTTTTGCAGACCTTGTAAAGCTGGCTTTTTTTTTTTTTTTTTTTTACATATTTTGTCTTACAAGCTTCATTCTGTTCGGGCGCTTTAGAAATTGTATAAATATTTATAGA